ATCTTCACACTCTCCATCTGTATTCTAAATTCAACCATACTGTGATCACTCCTTCCAAGAGGATCCCTAACTATGAGGTCATTAATTATTCCTGTCTCATTACACAGGACCAGATCTGGGATAGCTTGCTCCCTCATCGGTTCCATTACATACTGTGCAAGAAAACTATCACGGATACACTCAACGAACTCCTCCTCAAGGCTACCCTGACCGAGCTGGTTCGACCAATCTACATGTAGATTAAAATCCCCCATGATAATTGCCGTACCATTTTTACAGGCATTAGTTATTTCTTTGTTTATTGCCCGCCCCAATGTGATGTTATTATTTGGTGGCCTATAGACTACGCCTATCAGTGACTTTTTCCTCTTAGAATTTCTAATTTCCACCCAAATGGATTCAACCTCATTCTCCATAGAACCTATGTCATCTCTCAGCACCGCCCTGATGTCGTCCTTGAATATCAGAGCTACACCACCTCCCTTACCTTCCTGTCTGTCCTTCCGAACAGTCTGGTACCCTTGGATATTGGCTTCTTTCTGACCCTTAATGTATGCTACTCTCTGGAACACAACATTCTGAGCTCCTTTGTTTATACTTGCTTCTTCTCCATTTTCTTGTCAGTTTTGGCTGTAAATCTACTTCATCCCTGTTCTTCTCCTTAGTAGTTACCTCAACGTTCCTTTAAAATCTCGTTGGCCCAAAAATTGCATGTCATGGCATGTGCTGTGAGTCAGATAACTTCCTTGAGCTCTCAGTTCCAATAATTTTTCAGCCACAAGTTGGTGTAAGTGGGAATTGGTAATGACATGGTCATCTGAAATTTCAGACAAGCAGGAACCAGCACTGATTTAGCTAGTGAAACCTTAGATCAGAGAAAGTAATGGAGTGAAAGACTGAGAAAGAATTAGGTTGGATCAGAGTTAAGATGGTGTTAATTTCTCTTTCAGGTACTAATTTAAGAGGGAGAGAAAGGTAGTATTTAGGTAGAAAAAAAGACAGAAACAGAAGCAAGAAGAATGTTTCAAAAATCTCTCAACAATTTACTACCAATGGCAGTGAGACTCCTTAATTTCACCAACATGGACACCTAGCACTAAGGAGCAAGAATAGGCCATTCAGCACTTCGAACCTGCTCTACCAATCAATAAAATCATGGCTGATCTGTTTGTGGTCTCAGCTCCACCTTACAGTTTGCACCCATTAGCCCTTGGGACTTCCTTGTCTATCCAAAAACTATTTAATGCAGGTTTGAATAAATTTAAAGACCCAGCCTCCATTACCTTCTGAGGAAGAGAATTCTCTAATGAACTACTGGAAGGAAAAAAAGTTATCCTCATCTCTGCCTTAAAAGGAAGACCTCTTAATCTTTATCTATGTCTCCTAATTTTATCTTTTCTCACAAGAGGAAACATCCTCCTGGTATTCACCCCAACTGGTCCCCTGATGATCTGATATGCTTCAGTAAGATTGCCTCTCTCTTCTAAACTGCAGTAGGTAAAGGCCTAACTGGCTCAACTTTTCAAAATAAGATAAGACCAGCATTGAGTCAAGTGAATCTTCTCTGAACTGCTTCTGAAACAATTATATATCTTTCAAGTAACGAGACCAAAACTGTACACAATAACCTGGATGTGGTCCCATCAAGACCCTGAACAGCTGCAGTAAAACTTCCCTACTTTTATTTTATAATCCCCTTGTTGTAAATAACAGCATTCCATTTGTTTTCCTAATCACTTGCTGCATCTACATTCTAATTTTGTAATTCATGGACCAGGACACCCAGATCCCCTACACCACTGAGATCTACAATCTCTCAATTTAAATTTTTTATTCTTGCTGCCAAAATGGACAAGTTCACATTACCCAAGACCATCTACCAAATTTTTGCCCACTTACCTAACATGTCGATAGCTCTTTGCAGACTCTGTACCTCCTCTTGACAATTTACTATCCTACCTTAGTATCATTGACAAATTTAGCTACCATACACTCGGTCCCTTCCTCCAAATCATTAACCTAGATTGGAAATAGTTGAGGAGCCACCTCTGATCTCTGTGGCACTTCATTGGCTTAGTTTGCCAATCTAAAAAAGACCCAATCATATATATTTTCTGCTTCCTGTTAGCTAACCAATCCCAAATCCAGCAAATAGAATGGATGAACAAATACACCCATCTCTTTCCTGAGAGTTATCAAATATTTCTGTAATCATCTGCCACTGCAACTCTACTTGTCCTAATTTTTAACCTATTTTCCAGCTCACCTTAACCACATCTCCCTTAATATCCTCCTAATTACCTTAATTTAAGTTTAAAACACAAGTCATGGACCCTCACTTCTCCCTTCCTATTCTGACTATTTCCTTTTTGGGCCTCAAATATTGAGTTTCATGATAGGACCAGAAATTGCATTACTAATAAAATCTTTACAACATGAAATATTGGCTTTAAATAAGTGATGAGGTTCATTCCTATTTGCACCCCAATGGATTTTAGCATTAACAATAGCCAGTGTCATGAATTTAACCCACATTATTAGTCCAGCAATTTCTAACTATTGTTCCTATTTTTAACCATGTAACCAGTTCTATATGTGACTGTTTTGTCCCCCAAAGATTCCATTCTTCATAAAAGTGACAATTATTTTCATACTGATTTGCTCACCACTTAATTACACTCAGAATTATTTTGGAGGTGCAGATCAAATTTCTTCCTGTGTCACTTAGCTCTCCACATACCTCCACTATTTACCCTTTTCCTGCCTCCTCTGCCAGTCTTTTTTCAATGTAATTTGCTCCACTTTTTTTTAAAGTCACCATCCCACTGTTAATGTACTTAGAACACATCTTAGTATCTATCAAACTGAATAAATTTGTTTCAAAAAATTTTCCTAAATGGCTTGGTAAAGCTACTAATGTACAGTTTCTTTATTTGTCTCAAAAATAATGGAGCTGTTAGCAGTTTTAGGAACTTTTTCCGATGTAACCAAACTAGTAAAATTGGCAATTAAAACTTAATCTAAGTTTAAGCTTCTTTATCCTTTGATTCAGGAATACAAGTTGTCAGGACCCAGGAACCTGTTAAAGAAACATTGAAACTCCTTACAAACATTTAAACCCTTTATTATTTCATAATGCATACCCCTCCTCTAATAACAAATGCTTTCAGACTTGGGTTTATTTCCCTTCTTTTCTTGGATAAAAGACCAGTGGTGGAAATAAAATTTCCTAAGAACTATTCAGCATTCAAGCCATTGTAATCTTAGAAGTTCTAAGTCTCTCAACTGTGAGGCTGTTCTGTTTACATTATAGGGTAGTTTCCACAGCAGCTGGAACAACAGTAAAAACTGCACATGCAGAACAATTTAATTCTGACTGCTGTAATTTCCACCATGGCCAAGAATGATACCTACAAGATAGTAAACACAAGGCCAATTTAATTAATGGTGACCATTTCACAATGCCACTGCCTCCACTCAATGAAGATTATTTTTCTGGGCACTGCCCTGAGCAACCCAGGGGAGAATCTTCATAAGATAATCGAGGAAACTCTGTGAATGCTTTTGTTATATAGGACTGGACACTACACTGCTCCGCCAGTGAAATTGATGACAGGGAGGGGTCATATAATTCAATACAAGTTCTACTACCTGCTTCTGACTTGCCAAAAATTTTACAGTGAGCAGTGGGCTATTTGGTGGCCTGTTCTGCAGAAGGGCCTTAGACATGTCCACCTTTGTCTCCACTGAGGATTCCCCATTAGTGTGTCTGACCCATTTCCTGCAATTCTGCCCTCACCCCTTCCCTTCTCTCCAACAACAACAGCAGGGTCTTCTTTATCCTGATATCCCCACCAGCCCCTGCATCCAAAGTATCAAAGCCATCACTTTTGCCACCACCGGGCATATATTCCCCCTCCTCCCTTGTCAGCATTCCGCAAGGACTGTTCCTCTGGCACAACCTGGTCCGCTCCTTGTCCACTCCCAATACCTCCCTATATCCCCATGGCACCTTCCCATGCATTCACAGAAGGTGCAACACTTGCATGTTTATGTCCCACCTTCTCACCGTCCATTAGAATACTGTAGCGGGCCTAGGCATGGGATCAAGATGGTTTATTGAAATAGCAAGCAAATAGAAGGTCTGGGCCATTCCTATGGATAGAATGGAGGTGTTCTGCAAAGCAATTTGGTCTTCCCTCCTTCATCTGTCAACAACATAAATACTTCCATTTTCCAGTCCCTTTCAGCCCTGAGTGATATCAGACTATGAAACCTGTTTCTGTCTCTACAGTTAGTTTTACCCGATTTTTCTGTTTATACAAAAGTAGGAGAGTCTTGCTACAACTGTATAAGTACACCAAGAGTACTGTGTGTAATTTTGATCACCATACTTTGGGAGGGAGCAAGTTGCATTGGAAGAAAGTTCAGAGAAAGTTAACTGGTTTGATTGACCGAATTAGAGTTTTTTTTCTTCCCCTGAGGAAATATGAGCAGGTTGGAATTTGGAAGACATAGTCTTATTAAAACAAAAGATTCTGAGGACTCTGGGACAGGGTAGATGCTAACAGGCTGGTTCTTCTCATGGGGAAATCTATTAACTAGGGGACAGTTTCCAAATAAAAAATCTTCCATTTAAGATTGATGTAAGGAGGAATTTCATCTCTTAGAGGTCATCAGTATTTGTAATTCTCTTCCCCAACAAGCTATGTAGTCACTGAATATCTTCAAGGCTGAGCTGGACAAATTTTTGATCGATAAAGGAGTTTACGAATTAATGGAGGCAAGCAGGAAAATGGAGCTAAGGCCACAATCAGATCAGCCATGATTTTCTTCAATGGCAGAGCAGATTTGAGGGGTTGAATGGCCTCCTCTTCTTCTTGTTTCTTATGTTCTTATAATACATATGCATCAATATAATGAAAATGAAAAGGATGCCAACCCTTAATATGGATTGTTTTAACAAAATAGTCAGAACAGTGTTGTTATCTTTTTTCTAGATGGGAAGCTGAGGGTGAAAACGAAGTGGGAAGGTGCAAGGAAACAGGCCAAATCCACGTGAGGGTGGATCCCAAGTACTACAGGCCGACTGAAGTGGTAAGCATGTTTAAAAATTAACTAAAGAGTAGTCCAGAGATAGTAGGAACTGCCGATGCTGAAGAATCTGAAATAACAAGGTGTAGAGCTGGATGAACCCAGCAGGCCAAGCAGCATCAGAGGAGCAGGAAAGTTGACGTTTTAGGTCTAGACCCTTCAGAAATGGGGGAGGGGAAGGGGATTCTGAAATAAAT